TTCAAGGTTTAGGGTGTCGAATTCAGGGTTTAGGGTTCAGGGTTTAGGGTTCGGGGTTCAAGGTTTAGGGTTTGGAATTCAGGGTTTAGGGTTCAGGGTTTAGGGGTCGGGGTTCGAGGTTTAGGGTGTCGAATTCAGGGTTTGCAAGTATCCCTTGACCGAGTGTGCTGTGAGCAACCCTCTTACGTAGTCTTTTCGGCTTTGACTGTATGTGGGCCGCCCTGCCCGAAGTAGCTAGGGAGATCCGATTCTGGTCACATCAGCCATCTTGTCCATCCTTTGCTTTCCTGACCTTGCTGGGGCTACTGCTTTTCTGCTGTGGATTGGGAATTGGATTGTGCACCGGCTGTGTGCTACTTAGTCGGCAGTGCCGGCGGGCCATTTCGCTTTGTGCTCACTGGCTGGCTATTTTCCTGGAGGCGCCTATTGCAACCACAACCCTTGCTCGGGTGGACCCACTGCGACGGCTGCGGGAGTACAGGTCACAGTGAATGCCTGGCGCTGGCTCTAGTGACCAGGAGGTTGAGGAGCTCGAGCTCGCCTTTGGAGATTTATCATTGACTGTCCGCAGGCGCCGCACAACAGCCCCTGCTTCTGCCAGGTCGACCGCTTCTACATCTTCCTTCACTGTGGTGCCGCCGCAGCCTGAGCCTGATTTGGGGCCCCACAGTGTTTTCATTCGGAGGTTGCACGCAGCTGGGGAACCTTGGACAGCCCGAGCTCGGATAGCTCGTGCTGTGCGGGCAGGAGTTGCTGCTGCAGCCGTGCTTCGGGGAGAGACCGAGTACGTTTGCCGCTCTCCGGCGCTGCCGCTGCTGAACAGGATCTACATTGTGCTTCGCTCTGGCTGCACCCCGGAAAGCTTTGTGACCACCAGCTACTCCAAGTATTTCAGCAAGCTGAGCGACCCCGCCACGGGCAAGTTCCGCACAGGTACTCTCAGCCACGGCTTTGCATCTAAGGCAGAGGCAGAGAGCTATTGCGCAGCCGCTGGTCAACCATGGCCGGCCAAGCTGCTGGAGTCGAATTGAGCCCGGAGGGCGTTCTCGCCCTCCTGTCCCAGGATGCTCCTGGGAGACCCCTGCCATTGCTGTACATGCTGGGCCTCGACGACCCTCCTACTTGGCGAGCGGCTGTTTTTCTGCTGAAGGCTCGGGCCGGCGGCTTTATGATTGCTGCCCCACACTTGGAAGGTATCATCAGCTTCTTTGCCGCCATTTCGGAAGAAGCCGAAGGCCAGGTCGATGGTCCACTGCCGGTTGTTTGGAAGGTCGTGTCAGTGGCTTGCGAGACAAGCCGTCGGCGGAGGGTTGGCGAAGTGTCCATGGTGCTGGCAGACCTAAGCTGGGCGCATCTTGTCTACTTCAGGCGAGCCACGGCATCGCGACCACCTGCTGGAGCCGCCTTGCTGGCTTTGACTCACGAGGAAACAGCTGTCCGCCCCATGCCAGGGCCAGCCAGGGAGGCTGCCGACGAATGGGTGACGGAGCAATTGAGCGACGCCACCTTTTTAGAATACGCTACAGCAGAGGAACTTCAAGAAGACTTTCTCGAGGATGCCGAGCCTCCCGAAGAGGAAGATACTGTGGAGTCTCTCCGTGCACGCATCCGGCAGATGGAGTCCGCACAGGGTGCGATGAGGGCCCCACAGCCCCCATCACACGGCCCGCGGCAGACACGACCTTTGCTGGAAGCAGTGCCGGAGGCTGGAGCGACTTTGTCGGCGGAGGACTGGCAAAAGCTGCGAGCCGTGGCAGGCTCACCGCCGACACGTCTTGCAGGGCACGAGCGAGCTCCTCGGGCAACAGCGGCGGACAACGCCCTGGCCGAAGAGGAGCTGGAAGTCAGCGAGATGGCACCTGCCACTTCGACAGATGGGGCGCTGCTTCGCGACTCAGGCTCAGCTGTTGGAGAAGCTGTCTGCAAAGCCCGCCCCTCAGGATCCCATCACGGCAGCTGTGTCTTCTGGAAGCGGCGGGGACAACGTGCCAGGCAGTTCTTACGTGACCAAAGGCATTGCGGCAAGGGAGGCTTTTCTGAACGTCTTCGATCATCCTGCGGAGTTTGCCGAAGGGGTGGCGCGGAGAGCTCAGCAAGAGCTTGGGCTCAGCACCCAAGAACCTGGACTGATGCGCATGTACGCCGAACGCAAGATACCAATGAAGGAGCTGAAGACGGTGCAAATCTTCACCCATTTTCTGGCTCACCAGTGGGAGGACTGCAGGCGTCAAGGCGATCAGCTGGGCGAAGCTTGGGCTGCTCGAGGCCTACGTGGACTACTTGGAGAGCCGGATGAAGCAGAGCCGCCCTTCAGGTCACCAGGACGCGCCGCCCGACAAGAGCGACGACCCGGAGGACAAGCAACCCAACAAGCCCAGAAGGCCACCCAGACGGGCCAAGGCCATAGCAGACAAGCCGGGAGACAAGTCGGAGAAGTGAAGGCCGAGGTCGCTTCCCCTGACTATGTAAAGTATGACCGCACTAGTGCTGAGCACGGTGCTTCTTTTGCACCCGGGTTCGAATCGAGCCGAGGTATTGCATGCTTAAATTCATTTTCGAGTGCTGCCGGGACTTCTGCTTCCCATGCACCTGAGGCCACCAACCTTCCGCGCCGGGATGTGCCTTTTGGGTCTACCCCCGCGCTGCCTGAGTTGGATCATGACCCCATTCACCTTCCCAATTCCCCTAAGCCTTTCAGGGATTGGGCTTATAGTTTTTTAAAGGTTTCGGCGTCCGCCAGGGTAGGGTTGAACGCCTTCCTTGCCGATTCTTTTAAACCTGTTTGCAACATTGCCTGCACTGCACCGCTTGGATCCAATTCAGGCACATTGTGGCCCTGTCCCCCACCTCGGAGATGGACAGAGCAAATGAGACATCTTTCCCCACGCCGCCGGCGCCGGATGCGGGAACTTAAGCTCATCCATGATTTACTTAGGGTTGCCATAGGTGCCCTCAACTGGATAGCCCTGGGTTCTCCAAAGCATTGCCCCGCGGAGGCTCGTGCTGGGATGCCTGTGTCCGAAGACCAGCTTGACATGCAGTGTGTGCTGGAGCGCCGCGTAAAACATTTTGTGCGAGCTCCTGGTTTTGAGGCCTCTCTCCTCGGCAGGTCGGAGGATCGTTTTGCACACTTGCTGTCTTTAGCTCAGGAACTACCTAAGGTGAGCCAGCCTCTCTCAGGTGTGGACCTACATGAATTAGTTTTGGATTTGCATGCTTCTTGGGACGGTTATGGCACCGGGTCGGCTTCTGCTCCTGCACCCGCTGATGACCCCCCTTCTGATTCATGTTCAACGCCTGGCACTTGTTCTACTTCGGGAAAACCAAGTAGCTTGGGTCAGTGTAAGGTGCCTGTTGGAGCCCAGTACAAGGAGGTCATTGCAAGCCGCATCAAATGGGAGAATCCACCGTCCTTCAACCCCATCCCTTACTTGCCTGACCCCCTTGTAAAAGCTGCCTTCATCAATCCTGATACTTTGCGCAAACCACCTGAGAGTTGGCCGTCGCTTCCTGCTGCTCAAGTCCGTTGTAGCCGCTCGGAGCTGATTGCACTAGCCAGCAAGTGGGATTCAGTAGGGGCCCTTAAGATCATACCTTGTGACTCCATTGATGCGCACGAAGCTGTTGGTCTCTTCGCCATCTGTAAGGACAGGTCTTGGGATAGGTTAATCCTTAACCCCACCGTGGTTAATTCCCGTAACCATGGGGGGTGTTTGTTAGGGCAAACGCACTTAGAGCCTCATCAATGTTTGCGATTGAGCTGCGATGATCTTACTGAGTATTACTATACCTTCGAGGTGTCCGCCCAGAGAGCTGCTCGAAACGCCATCAGGATGCCACTGCCTAGGAGTGCCGTGCAAGGTTTCCGAGCCTTTGACAAGCGTTTGGGAGCAGGTCCTTTCTACGTGTGTTTAGCCACGATGGCCATGGGCGACGCCCTAGCGGTTGAGGTGGCCCAGCAGTCTCATCACACCGTGTTGTCATCATTCGCAAACGCAATGAGGCCTACGGAGATTGCAGCATATCGTTCACCTTATCCTCGTGGTGACACGGCTGAGTACCTGGCTGTGGATGATCACCTCGTTGCCCAGAAAGTTACGTTTCCCGAGCTCCGCTCCCAAACCTTCAAGAGAGACTCTGAGATCTTCCGTGACGCAGAGCGTGCGTACACTTCTGTTCGCTTGGTGCAGCGCCCGAAAAAGAGAAGCGCCATGAAACCTCTGGAGAGTACTTGGGGGCAGATGTTGACGGTGTAGCCGGGCTGGTCTCTGCGCCGCGGCACCGCGTCGGTGTTCTCATGTTGATCACTGCCGAAGTTGTGCGCCGCGGGAGCTGCTCTGCCAGTTTTCTGTCCTCTTTGCTTGGGCTCTGGGTCCACGTCCTCCTTTTTCGGAGGCCTGCATTCTCGCTTCTTTCCATCTGTTTCCAGGAAGCTTGCCACGTACCTCGTGATGAGGTCTTCCGTTTGGACCGGCGTGCGTTGAACGAACTGCAGTCGCTTTCCTTGCTTGCGCCTTTGCTTCAAGCGGACCTGCGCGTACAATACTTGCCTCACATCTATGCGATGGATGCATCGCCCAGCAGTGCTGGACTATGCATCGCGGACGTGCCAACCCATGTATCCCGGGAACTATGGCGGCACACAGAGCAGCGCGGTTACTACACTAAACTGGAGTCACCCGCGGCGGCCTTGCTGCGAGAACAGGGGCATAACTGCGAAGCTGTTTTCGGCCCTCCGGATGCATCCACTGCGCTGTTGATGTCAGGTTTCGTGGCACCTGTGCCCAAGCACTTGGCTGAGGGTTTGATTTACGACACGGTTGAAGTGTTTTCCGGTGAGGGAAACTGGTCTGCTGCACATTGCGCAGCCGGCCTCGAGACTCATCCGGGCATAGATATCGCTGGCCGCAATCTCCGTGTCATGGACATCCTGGATGATGCCGTTTTTCATGAAGTGCTGAGCTTGGCTTTGCGTCGTGTCGCCCGTGAGTGGCATGGCGTGCCACCTTGCCTGACCTTCGGAACCCTCAGACGGCCTCGTCTTCGATCCAAAATTAAGCCCCACGGTTTCCACCCTAATGACCCCCTCACCCTAACCCATAATCGCATGGCTCAGCGCACTGGGTTTCTGTTTTGTGTGGTTGCTAGGTTAGGGGGTTTCTTTAGTGTGGAGCAGCCCGGTTCTTCGGTGATGTTTCGCCTGCACATCTTCGGAGTGCTTGCCTCGCTCGGAGCGGTCCTGACACGCTTCTGTTGCTGTTCTTACGGATCCCCCTTCATGAAGCCGATGCAGTGGCTGCGCAACAAGCCCTGGCTAGTTCCGCTGGCCGGTGGCTGCGCGTGCGCGCATAAGAACAGGCACTTGGTTATACAGGGTTCTTTCACTGCTGAGTACCTTGCCGAGTTCAATGCCCGTTGCAAGCCTTCTGCCACCGCTGTGTTCAGCCGGGAGCCGAGATTGGGCGAGCCAGTTGCTGCCTTCTCAGCTTCTTACCCGTTGCCCTTGTGCCACCGCATGGCTTCCGGCAGTCGCCAGGCTAAAGAGGGCAGTTGTGCTGTGCTGCCTCTTTCCCTCCGCGCCTCGGCTGTCACCGCCTTGTCAACTGTTTCTGCTTGCGAGCTGCCTGATCTTAGCGAAGTTGAGGTTGAGCAACGGCTCTTTCATGACGATCCTGAGTGGATCAATGATCTAGCCGAATCCTTGCCCTTCCGCGAAGTGCTCAGGTACAAGTTTGCGAGGCAGAATCACATCAATGTTCAGGAAACTCGCACCTACAAAACCTGGTTGAAATACCTGTGCAAGCACCACCGTAGGTCACGTGCTGTTGGCCTGATCGACAGTCGCGTGTTGCTTGGCGCGTCGGCCAAAGGGCGCTCCAGCAGCCCGGCTCTTGCTCACGTTCTTCGCACGGCCTTGCCGTACATTCTTGGAGGCGGTTTGTACCCTGGAGGTTTGCACGTGTACTCGGCAGCCAACCGCAGTGACGGTCCTTCCCGAAACCGTCCCGTCGACCCTCCCTCCAAGCCTGTGCCGCTTTGGTTCGACCGCCTGTGTGAAGGGGACCCTTACCTCTTCGACGTGTGCCTTGCAGCCTCTGCCGTTCCTAAGCAAGCAGCGCGGTGGCTTCGGTTTTTGCTGCTGCTCGCTGGCGACATAGAGCGTAATCCCGGCCCGGCGCCTGTGCCTCGGGGCCCTCTCGACTTGACGTCCGGCTTTGCAGCTTCCACGAGGCACAAAATGCACAAAAGCCTTGAAGCCTTTGCTCTCTGGCTCCGCGAGGAGCTCGGTCTGTCATTGCACCAGGCCCTGTCTTCTGTGTCTGCTGCCGCACTCGCTCTTAGGGGTTACGGTTTGCACTTGTACGCGGCAGGCCTGCCGCGTTACCTCCTTGTCTATGCCATCACCTCAGTTCAAGACGCCTGCCCTGAGTATCGTAATCATCTCACGCCAGCCTGGCAAATCGATAAAAAGTGGCAGCACGCTGAACCCGGCGAATGTCGCCCAGTCATCTCCCAGCCTATTCTTCAAGCCGCTATTAGCGTAGGGTTGCTTTGGGGCTGGGGTGATTGGGTTGCTGTTACGCTTATAGGTTTCGTGTGCATGCTGCATCCTGCAGAGTTGATTGCCTTGCACCGCCGTGACTTGATCTTACCAGCTGACGCGATGACTTGTGATCGCATCGCATATGTGCATGTTCGTAATCCTAAGACGGCAAGGTTTGCCCGCCGCCAGCATGCCCGGCTGGACGACGAACTTGTTCTCAGATTCATCGAAGCTCGCTTCGGGACGCTGCCCTTGAGTGAAAAGCTTTTCAGAGGTTCCATGCATACTTACTGTAGGCAATGGAATGCGATTATGCATCACCTGGATGTTCCTCATACTCAGGCAGCCAAAGGGGCTACTCCCGGAGTGCTCCGGGGTTCCGGCGCGACTTTCTTGTATCTTGAGACAGAAGACGTTCAGCTTGTGGCATGGAGGGGACGGTGGAGCAAACTCAAGACCGTTGAGTTCTACCTCCAGGAGGTAGCTGCTCAGCGGCTGCTCCAGCAGCTGTCAGCAACGTCGCGGGCCAAGATAGCCATTCTGCGTAAGTATGCTTCTCGCCTTGTGGCCCTTCACTCGAATCCTCTTGATCCCGTGTAGAAATTTTTCCTTGTGGCTACGCCAAGCACCCTAAAAGTGGAAAGGGGTCGTATGGTTTACGGATAGGTCGGTTTTAGGTAGACCTGGTACCTCCCTAGGGGTTCCTTAAGCTTCTTTCCCTCCTTCCCTAACCCGTGCAACCCGTGTGTCCTGGCAGCCTTGTCTTTACCCAGGCCAAAATGGCTTGACGAAGTGAAGAGCGGGAATCTTTGCGAACGCGGGCAAAACGAGGCTCTTGGGAT